AAACTAGAGTTCAAGAATTCTCACGTATTACTAGGAGTCTTTATTGCTGGTCTTCATAACTAATGGAGCTAGATCCCAGTCCTTAGACCTTTGGATGGACCCATGGGAAATGCTACTGGTTCTTGCTTTGAGGAATGATACCCATCCATCCCCAGGTAGGAGCTAACCTCTTTCTTCAGTCCAAGAGGATTCAAATCTACTGCTTAGTTGGTTTTTATAACCTCCCTTCTCCCCACTCCAAACTTGATTCCCTTTCTTTTTTTCTTTCTTTTCATGGCTGGGGATTGAACCCAGGTCCTCATGCATGCTAGGCAAAGGCACTCCACAGATCTACATCCCCAGCCCCAAACTTGATATTTTTTGGGGTGCTGGGAATTTAACTCAAGGGTGCTTTACCAGTGAGCTACACTGCCAACCCTTTTTATTTTGACAGGGTTTCACTGTGTTTCTGAGGACCTCACTAAGTTGCTGAGGCTGTCCTCCTACCTCAGCCTCCTGAGTAGCTCAGATGACACGCAAGTACCACCACACCCAGCTTTATCTTTCATTCTTTATCTTTATTTAAATAATGATTAGAAAAGGCCTAATACAGCTCTTTTTAAAATGTTTGGAAGCACAATGATATTGCCACCCTTCCCCAGGAAGCTAACAATTTCCTATAATAATTAATTGAAGGCCACCACTTGGCAGGCTCCATACTAAGAGCCTATTTTCTTTACTCAGTAAGTTTTCCCAACAGCTCATGAGGTTAAGGTTATTGTCCCCCATTTTATGAATGAGGACACTGAGTCTCACTGATGTTTATAAGTAATTAGCCCAACGTCACAGAGGCAGTAAGTGGTAGAGCTGAGCTTTGAACATACACCTAGGTCCAAACACTTGTTCTCTCATTTACACTGGAGATTCCATATATAGCACACTGGTTAGCAACTGAGACTCTAGAAGGAAGCAGACTTAAGCTTGTAATCCTAGCTCTGTCACTTAATTACCATGCAATCTTGCCAAAATTAATGAGCCTTTCTGAACTTCAGTTTCCAATAAGGTATTGACAACACCTTTAAGGGGTGTGGTGAGAATCTCAGAAGTGAGAGTTGGTAGTTTAGGACTCACAGCTGGTCTGGTCTCATGTGATTTCTCTGGAAGCTTCTTGGGAACTGCTCTGTCTTCCATTGGTTCTCTTCAACAGCCCCAGCACATTCTGAGGGACACATTAGTTCCTGGCTCATTTCTAGAACAAAGGTGATTACCATGTATTGGGTCACTGAAGGACCAAAGGCGCCAGGCTTCAGGTTTTCCGCTCTCCCCTCTCCCTCCTTCCTTATTCAGCTGTCTCTCCCTGCACAAACCCCTGTGCCATCTCAGATCCACTCACGCTTTCCAGAAAGTGGCTTTCCAGAATTCATCTCGCCATCCTCATGTCAACAACAGCAAGTTTGCAGTAAACACACAGTAAAATAAGATAAGCTGCCTAGTAAGAGACAAAGGGGGTTCTCTGTCTTATTGTGACACTGGTTATTAAAAGGAAGTTCTGAAGCCCTCCATCCATCTCCGAGAACTCAGAACTTGAGGTCGCCCTACTTTTACCATTGAATGAAAACAAGTCTTGAATCCAACATCTTCGTGGCTCTCATCCTTCTGGAAAAAGGAGACTGTCCACCATAAGGACTTCTAATGACCCCTCAATGCCAAGGGGATAGGGAAAAATATTTCTCTTGGAAACTTTGGGAGACCATTGTTGGGTGCCAGTGTCACCAAGACTTTCCATTGAAATATCAGACTAGTTAAAAATCCCTCTCTGGCGTCAAGAGTTCTCAGGATGGGCCAGCAGCAAGGGCTGGATTGTATTACCATGATCTCTCAACTGACCTCTTTATACCAACTCAAGAATTCTTACTCCATCCCTGGGCTACCCAAGATCAAAGCCTATGTCATAAACAAAGGTTTGGGGGGGGGGGTGTAGAGGAAGGAATTGGTGGCCACAGGAGCGTCACTGTGTCTTTGCCGGTGGGAACTTGAGTCAGAGGCACTCCATTGCTCCCAGACTGGGTGGGTCCAACGTCAGAGGCAATCTCTTTTGCCTGGTGGTTGTGGCTTAACCTGCACTTTTCTGGGTAAAGAGGAAATAGCAGTGGCCTGAACCCCTGGAAAGTCTAATTGGCCTGAAGGCCTAAGGGTTTCCTGGCCTGGTTGGTAGTGGTTACTCTCCACCCAGCATAGATTACTGAACACAGACAGACTCTATTGGGAGCCAAAAATACAAGTCATGTCATGACCCTTTACTGACTGCCAACAAGGTGCCAGGCAATCCCCAGCTGGGCAGAGTGGGTGCAGAAATGAATAACATGGCCTCTCTCTTTAGTTTGCTTGCACCTTAGTGACCGAACAGCGCTGGCTTGACACCTCCCAGAAAGCACCCGTGTCCCAAATGGACCTTCTACACATGTGGACTTCCTTGACAATCGGGGACATCTGTATCCCACGTTTCGTTCCCACATTAAGGCCAAACTCTGAGAACCTAGATTCTAGAGCCAAGGAAACAGAGCAGCAGGACTCAAAATGGACGTTAGAACCTCCTCTGGAAGTCAGAAAAAGGAACTTTTAACAGTGATGGTTGCCTGGAAGTGCCTCCTGACCTGGTCCTTATCGTCCCCTCCAGCCTTCCTTCTCCCAGGCTACCTCGAAGTAAGATGAACAAGAAAAGACCTGGTACAAATCTCACTACTTAAGAAATGATCAACAAATGACTCCATATGGAGACATCGCTTGTTTTGGTGGAGCTTGGTTGGACAGGATCCCAGTCAATATTTGGTCCCCAAACTCTACTGACTTTTATTGTTAGTCTATGCAGTATTACTCAGCATGCTGGAATTTTTAAAAAATATTAATGAAAATAAACATCCTTACTCAATGGATGGGTTTGACCAGGCTATCTGGGCCCATCTAAGAAGTGTCCACCAGACACAATTGTCAAAATGATGAGAAATTTGTCCTCATTGTTCATAACCACTTTCATAATGAAGTTCTTCACTTTACTCTTTGAGTTCGAAGCTTGCTGCTTATACGCCTGCTTCATGATGAGCAGGCATTATATTGAAGCCCGGTGTCCCTAACGCTTAGGACCTTGCCTGACACAGGATAGTTGCTCTTCTTTATTAAATTGAAATGAAATGTGTGGAAGGCCAGGAATGGATCCCTGTATTCCAGTCCCCTCTCAGCTTTATACCCCCCACACTTGGAGCAGCTCAAGCCTCAATCATTAGTTGAGGGTTATCTTAGTGAAGTTCCACCCCTGATAGCAGGATAGTCATCACCCCCCCTACCCCGCCCACTTTGTAGTCTAGAGTTATAGGAAAGTGTGTGGACTTTGGAGTCATGCAGACCAAAGTTCAAATCCTTGTTCTACCCCTCACCCTCATATCACTGAGCCCCTATTTCCAATGCAAAATAACTACTGAGTTCACTATATGGGAAAACATGAAGTAAATCACCCAGATTCCAGAAGGTGGTCAGTAAAACCTTATTTATTATGTTTCATCTTTTCAGAAAACTCTTCTTATCTCCTTATGAGAGTAGGTCCCTGGCCAGGACCTTTCTGAAAGTCTACATATCATATCAACAACTCACACCTAGTGCAGCAACCCAAAGTACCATCTACCTTGACCCTTCTAAAGTCTTCAAAGTCAAATCACTTGAGGGTATCTCAATTGGTAGTTATTTAAATAAAGGGTGTTTACTTAAGGATTGAGGGGGAGCATTTAGGACATTGGGTCATCTAAGGTACCAAGATTCTATGTGATCCAAATTCTAATGGTTCTCAAATGTCAATGCCTCAATGCCAAGTTCAGATTCATATATCCAGCTCCCCGTATGCATCTCCATTGAAATGCCTAACAGACATCTCTACCTTAGCACATTTAAACTATAACTTTGGTTTTCTGCCCAACTCTGCTTCTCCCCATCTTTTCCATGTCAGGCAATGGTACTATCACCCATCACCCATCCACTTACTCATATTAAAAATAAGGAATTGCCCCATGCAGTGGCACATGCCTATAATCCCACTGGCTTAGGAGGCTGAGGCAAGAGGATCTCAAGTTCAAGGACAACCTTAGAAACCTAATGAGGCCCTGTCTTAAAATAAAAAAGGGCTGAAGATATGCCTCAGTTGTTAATCTCCCCTGGTTTAAATCCCGTTTAAAAAAAAAATGCAAACCAGATCCCATTGCTTCCCCTGCTTAAAACAGGTTGTTTTAAACATTCAGAAAAACTAGATCCTCTTCGTGGTCTATAAGTCCCTTCATGGCCTATAAATCCCTTCATGGTGTATAGATGCTCCTCACTTGTCTCACCCAATCTTCCCCTGGCTCTACATTTTAAAATGGGTATGGCAGTCATAATCGCCACCATAGAATGAGCCCCAGCTAGGTGCCAGGTGGGGTGCCTCATCTGCCTTACTTCTCATGATTCTTCTCACTACCACCCCCAGGAAGTGTCACTACCCATAAAACGATTGTGACGATTAAGAAAAAGTGTGTGACCATGGTAGACAGTTAATGATGGAGAAATGTTGGACTCCCTACTTTTCCATGTATTCCAACAGCAGAGTGGGGTAGGGGCGCAGCTCAGCAAAGTCCCACTGGCTGGGTAGGGTTGAACCGGTTCTCACTCATACTCTCTTGTCCACTAGTCCAACACTGGCCTACAGGGGGCGCGCCTGAGCCAAGAAGGGCGAGTACTGTCTGGCTGGGGGACCCGGGCTGCTGAAAGAGTTAAGATGCCTCTTTGCAAAGCCAGGCCTTCGCCTCCTGCATCTGCCTTTGTGGGCTTAATGAGAAATCCAGGCGCTTCATAAGAGACTGTGCAAATAACTTCGAGGGCGCCACTAACTCATCCAGCAGAAGGAGACCCAGGGCTGCCAATGCTTCAGGGAAGATAAGTGAGTGGAAAGGAGGTGGTTTTTATAGCGTCAGGCGGACAGAAAGATTTTGCCGCGGTCGAGTGTGAGCTCCGCCCCTGCAGCAGAGCTGAAAAAGCCAGAATCCGGGCTCCTCTGCCCCTCTCTCCATGATATTTGATTAGGAATGTGGGGGCGGGCCCTGGCCTGGCTCAGGCGCGCACACTCTCAGTAGCCACCCTGTCTCTCTCTCTCTCTCACACACACACCTTCTCCAACCCAAGGAGGCCAGACACAGAGACTTGATCACTCTGAAAGGTTCAACTAGAGGTAAGTTTAATCATTTTACTTGGGGTTTTTTTCCGTTGTTATGCCATGAAAGAAATAAAAGAAAAAGACAGGAGTGGGGATAAGTAGGCAGGGGGAAGTCACTCCACTCCACCTGGGCCAGGACCCCAGGGATGCTGCAGAGGGGCAAAGGAACAGGAGGGATGGGCTCCTGCATTTTGCTTTTTTCCTATAGCCCCCTTTCTGGGTGTGGAGGATCTCCAACTCACTGGCATGAAAAAGTGAGGGACCAGATGTCCACAGAAGCTACTTCCCTGCTCCATAAACCCTACCACTCTGGGACTTGGCACTTTGGGAGGGTAGACCCTGGGTGTTCCTGAAACATCGCTTAGAGAGGGGTTGTGGTACCTAAATGCTGTTGGAGGGGGACAAATTTTGTGGAGAGAGAGAGTGAGAGTGTGTGTGTGTGTGTGTGTGTGTGTGTGTGTTGCTAGGGTGAAAGGGAGAGAATAAAGAGAAGTACTAAGAACAGGCCATGTCCAGGGAGCTATGGAGTGAGGTGGACCCCACCTCCCCAGGTTAGGGCACGGCTTCTGGTTTGACTTCCTCAACTCTGATAGGAGGGAGAAGGCTCCCCCAGGGTAGAGACATGGAAGAACAGCAGAAGCCCCTGAGTCAGCTGCCCCCAACTCAGAGAGTGTCAATGCTAGAAACTGTACCCAACGAACTCGGAGCACAGGAGGGTCTCCTGCATTGTGAGAAAGAACGTGGGAGTATAAACCCTGAAGCAGCAGCGCTGGGAGATGGGGTGGGGTGAGGACAGACAGAAGGTCCTCCGAACTCTTCCAACAGCTGGGGATCTAAGGAAAGGCCAAAGTGGCAGGATGCACAGCCCCTGGAAAGCTGGGTCTTGAAGAGGAAGGTGGTTCTCATCTGCCAAGATGCCCAGTCTGGAAGGAGGAGAAACGAGACAGAGGCTCACTGTGCCAGTCCTCCAGACAGCCACCTTGGTCTTGGGGCAGCCCAAAACTGTGCATGGAAAAATGTGCTCTTGGCAGTGGGCCGCTCCATCCGTCGTCTCTCCAGGCCAGGTCCAGGGACCAGCCAGCCTGCCCAGGCAGTGGGCAGTTGGGTCTACTTCTCAGAAACACTGTGGCTCTTTGTTTGAGGCCTGCGGCTTCCTCGGGATGAGCCAGAGTGCCCATTCCTTTGAGGCCCAGGAGCTGAAGGGATGAAGCAGGCCTCAGGAATAGAGAGGTCTGGGAGGAACGATGGCCAGTAGGTGGCTCTACTCCTTTCTCCTGTCCACACTTGCTAAGCCGAGCAAAGCTCAAGGTTGGTTTGAGGGATACATGTGACTCTTCCAAGTCAAGAAAGGTTCTAAGCTTTCTCTGTCCAAGGGTAACACTCTGGAAGGTGCTATGGCCCACAGAGGCTGTGCAGGACACTAGCTGTAGGTAACTGGGCTGGGCGCACCCAGGCCTGATGTGCTATCCCTTGGTCCCTCATTGTCCATACCTTCAATTTCCCCTCTTAGATGACCCCAGACCCTACATTTCCCCCCCCCCAGTCTGCCCAGTTCTCACCCACAAGCCCAAAGATGACAGGCTGCCCAGCAGAGACCAGGGGAGGGGGGATATGGAGCCTGTAAACTAGGTGTCATCACCTGGAACAAGTAGCTTGGGATAGGAGACCCTGTCCTATGTCACTTTCCCTTGGCATACCCCACGTCTCTGATCCGTACTCCAATTTCCAGTGTTCCTCAATCATTTCTGTTGACCTCACTCCACTCCTGCATAATCCCCACAGTGGACCATAAAGCGTGCTCACACTTCACTAGGCACCATACCGCAGAGGACAGAGAAGCCAACTCACTCCAACCCCATGCATTCATTCCTAAGTGCCACACCCAGTGCTAGTATCCCCAGTCTAGAGAGGATTTGTAACTGTTAAATGAAGTCCAGGTTACATGTGTGGCCACAAACTGCTAACCAGAGAGAGTTTTCTCACCCAGCAGACTGTGACTGACGATGGTACTTTGGAAGGTGGCCCAGGCCTTGTGGTGGCTGAAGTGGGATGACACTCCTCCCCAGATGTTCAGGACCAGAAATCCCTGGCCTGTCCCAGACACTGAAATATCTTCCAGAAATAGTTCAGATCTTCCCCTTTGATGTCGCAGCCCCTTCTGGAGGTTTCTTAGAGACATGGAAAGAGCCAGGGGGCATTTTCCTTAGACTCTTAGGAAATGTTATTTCCCCAAAGAGTCTAAACTGGATTCAGGCCTGAAGAGCAGCCTACGAGTACAGACCCCCTGCATTTGCACATGCATGCACATGCCTACCCACACACACACATATACACACACCACACATGGAATGTTGGAGCCTTTCCAGATTCCCTAGCAGAAACTTCATGGTGCTAGAAGCCCCTGCAGACCTGCCCCTCCCCCAAAAATACAGCCCCCATTCACATTCCTTCTAACCTCAAAGTCTGTTTCTGTGACTCTATGACCAGGAGCAATACACCCGGCTCACCCTAGACAACCAGATTCTGGACCAAGTGCACAGAGCGGGCCTAGGAGGAGCAGGGCTCCTGCTCTAGGGCATTTGACACTACGGTCACATCTGCACAGCTCAGAGCCTGTGGCTTGCCTGCCGTGCCCCGCTGCCTCCCTTCGGTCTCACTCACATCTGCTTGCTCTGTCTCTCTTCCTTCCCGCAGAGACACAATGCAGTGGGTCTCCCTCCTGCTGCTGGCAGGGCTCTGCTTGCTCTCCGGGGCTCAGTATGATGAAGACTCCCACTGGTGGTTCCAGTACCTGCGCAGCCAGCAGTCCACCTACTACGACCCCTATGAACCCTACCCTTACGAACCCTCTGACCCCTACCCCTACCCCTACGGGGTGGAGGAAGGTCCAGCCTATGCCTATGGCTCTCCATCCCCACCAGAGCCCCGTGACTGCCCCCAGGAATGCGACTGTCCCCCCAACTTCCCCACGGCCATGTACTGTGACAACCGCAACCTCAAGTACCTGCCCTTCGTGCCTTCCCGCATGAAGTACGTCTACTTCCAGAACAATCAGATCTCCTCCATCCAGGAAGGTGTCTTTGACAATGCCACTGGCCTGCTCTGGATTGCTCTCCATGGCAACCAGATCACCAGTGATAAGGTGGGCAGGAGGGTGTTCTCCAAGCTGAAGCACCTGGAGAGGCTGTACCTGGATCACAACAACCTGACCCGGATGCCAGGTCCGCTGCCTCGATCTCTGAGGGAGCTCCATCTTGACCACAACCAGATCTCACGGGTCCCCAACAACGCTCTGGAGGGACTGGAGAACCTCACGGCCTTGTACCTCCAACACAACGAGATCCAGGAGGTGGGCAGTTCTATGCGGGGTCTCCAGTCCCTGATCTTGCTGGACCTGAGTTACAACCACCTCCGGAGGGTGCCCGATGGACTGCCCTCAGCCCTTGAGCAGCTGTACCTGGAGCACAACAACGTCTTCACTGTCCCCGATAGCTACTTCCGGGGATCACCCAAGCTGCTCTATGTGCGGCTATCTCACAACAGTCTCACCAACAATGGCCTGGCCACCAACACCTTCAATTCCAGCAGCCTCCTTGAGCTCGACCTCTCCTACAACCAGCTGCAGAAGATCCCCCCTGTCAACACCAACCTGGAGAACCTCTACCTCCAAGGCAACAGGATCAACGGTGAGACTTGGGGGGAGGGGCTGTGCGGCCACTTCACTGGAAAGACCTATTCTGAGTGATTGTGGCATGCAAATAAAATAGGCCCAGGGGAACCAACCAGTAGCAATGAAGCAACCCGAAAACCAAGTCATAGCCCTGCAAAAATACATGCAAAATAGTACACTCATCCTCAACAACAGCACCAAGATCTTGCAGTGGGGAGCAGGTGGGGCAGAAGATGGCCTCCCAGGAGAGGCACATTTCAGCTAGGGGTGGAGAGGTCTGTGGGCAAATGTTGGAGAAAGGCAGGACAAAGCTATTCTGGGAAGGAACCAGTACCAGTCATTTAACAAGTATCTGTAGGGGACAGCCAGAAATGCCCTCCTGAAAGGAAGGGGTCATAGATTCAGGAGCAGTGAGAGATGAGTTGGGAGAGGTTGGGAGGGGGACCGTTCATAGAGAAGGAGACCTAAGGTTGACTTCCAGTGTCCACCTCGGGAGAGCAATTGGCTGCCAAGAACCCCCGTTGCCTGCCTGTCTCCCCCACCAGAAGAGGGCAGGCTGTGTTTCCCCTTGACTCACTGTTGCCGCCACAGACGGGGACTCCTGTTTTGGTGTTTGTTTTTTAAATCTAACAGCTGGTGGACAGAGCTGAATGTGGCACTTGTTCTGGCCAGTTCTTCCCGGAGTCCAAGGAGCCCCTGGTGGCAGGGCAGAGGTCCTCCCCAGGATAACATGAGGCTGACCACTGCAGAGCCTGGGGGGCAGAGGACAGTGCTTGGTTTATAAACACTTCTCTGCAAATGCCTAAGGACAGCAAAAAGGCTGCCTTTCTACCTGCGAGAACTAAAATATTCATTTCCAATTGAATTATCCAGTTGCCTTTGGGCTCCCTTCCTCTTACCATCTCCCTCCCTTTCCCAAGTGCTTACATTACCCCAGGGCCTCTGATGTCTTCATCTCAGCTGGAAGGTACTGAGCCAGCATTTAACCTCCCTCCCTCTCAGCAAAGCCCTCTGCTCTGTAAAGCGGGGGACTCATTAATGACCACTGGCAGAGGGCTTTGAAGTAGAGCCTGCTGAGAGGGAACAGCACCATCAAAGTTCAGAGACAGAAGAGTGGGCCTCTCCCTCGGACCCCTTTCTCCCCCTGCGCTCGCAGAACAGATCAATCATTCAGCGAGATGTGAAGGGCTGGACAGTCCTCAGGGGAGACTCCCGCCTCAGGGGGCAGTAAGGGAGGTGGCAGCCGAGCAGGCAAAGTGAAGAGCTGTCCGTCTGGTCCTTTAGTTAGTTTGAAGTGCTAGACACCATCATGCACATTCCAAACTGGTTTTTATTTAGGGGGGAAATAATGGTCTCTCTTTCTCTGGGGGCTTCTTACTCCATCCACATTCCCGGCTCTGACCAAGGGCGGGGTTCTTTACGTTATCTAGAAGGTGCGCATGCGCAGTTTTGCCGCCTTCACATCCTCCCCAGCAATTGCCACTGCTTACCTGCCTCCCGTTCTGGATCCAGGAAGGATGTCACATCACAAATGTCACACTGTATGCTGTACTTCATCTAAGTTTGACACCGAAAATGTGACATCAAAGAGCAGCTGTCCTGAGAAAGAACCAATTAGTGCCTAACCATACAATTAGAGAAAGGTGGAGTAGGGAAGACTTTGTCACAGCATCCTGTCACCTCTCTACCTTCATGCAGAATCACATCTGCCACTGAAATATAAGATGGTCTGCCTTTCCCAACGCTTGTTAGAATATAAAATTACTTAATGAGTGTCCCTAAGGCCCTACAAGCAAGTCCCCTCATTCAGCTGGGCATGGTGGGGCATGCCTGTAGTCCCAGTGACTCAGGAGGCTGAGGCAGGAGGATTGCAAGTTTGAGGCCAGCCCCAGCAATTTAGCAAGGCCCTAGGCAACTTAGTGAGATTCTGTCTCAAAATAAAAAATTTAAAATGGGCTGGGGATGTGGCTCAGTGGTTAAGTGGCCCTGAGTTCAATCTCCATTACCCAAAACAAGAAAGTAATTTCTCCTTTTAGACAACCTAAAATTTTCAGCATTTATCCCAAGTCTCTTTTTGTGCAATTTGAGCTCACTCTCCTTTACTAGTTATTGTTTACTCTTGTTCCTGTAAACAAAGTGACTCATGCCTAAATCTTTAATTTTTTTTTTGTTTTTTTTTTTTTGTTTTGTTTTGTTTTGTTTTTTGAGATAGGGCCTTGCTAAATTGCAGAGGCTGGCCTCAAACTTTGATCCTGGGGTTACAGGCATGTGCCACACCCAACCTCAGCCCCTCTTTAAGTTTTATTTTGAGACAGGGTCTCACTAAATTGCTCAGACTGTCCTTGAACTTGTGATCTTCCTGCCTCAGACTCCCAGGTTGCTGGGATCACAGGTATGCGCCACTATACCCAAACTTGGCTCATCTTTCTTAAATTAGTAAATTGATATACGTAAAATGCTTGATCTAGAACCTAGCACATAATTTAAACCAATACATAGTAACTGTTGTTAGCTTTTCTTTTTGCTACTTGGAAGTTGACAGGTACAGTTTTTGTTGTTGCTTTTTGCATTGCAAACATGGGGAAACTGAGGCACAGAGAAGGAAACTCATCTCTCAAGATCAGCCAGATTGCATAGAATAGGACCTTGAATTCCTACCTTCCATATCAAAGGACGTCCAGCCAGAGAACCTTGACTGAGAATGGGAGGAATCTCACTCTGATCCAAGACCATGAATAGGAAACCAGGTCCCCAAGCTGGCCCCCCCTCTCCTAGGGGAATATGAAGGATATCTCCCTGCACAGCCAGCCAGGGACTTGGGGTGGTGACAGTGAGATCAAAGTAGCTCTCTGAGGGAGAGTTTAAAGAACTCAAAGGCTGCAGGAAATAAAACAGGGTCCTCCCCTCCCCACTCCCTCCCACCACTATCTCCCTCACTTTTTCCAGCCTGGCAACCGCAAGGAAACACAGCTCAAAATGTTTTTCGGAAGCTCTGGGAACCAGGGGAGCAGGGAGGGTACACCAGGAGGAATTTGGAAAGACTTATGTCAGTATTTAATCTGAGCTGGAAAATGTCTACCAGGGCCTGCTCGCAGAAGCCCTGTCCTATTCATGGCTTGGGGAAGATAGAGGGGGGCTCCCAGTGCCCAGAGTGTGGCGAGACTCTATTATACTGGGTGTCTAGCTCCCCACAAGTATGTCCCGTATTTATGTACCCACAGCTGGAATCCAGGATTTTAGCAGACAGTCTGAGGGCTCCAGGCTGGGAAAGAATATCACTGAGCCACCAGCTCAGCCCCAAATAGAACTGGAAGGGATGTTTTAGCTGGGTTCACCCCCCCACACACACACACCCCTGTAAACAGACAACATAGACCCAGAGGCAACCCAGACTCTGCCTGCTTTCCCCCTTAGTCTCTTCCCTGCATCCAAAAAGGAAACATCCCAAAAGTATTCCAGATCTCCTGCCCCTCTGGGAAGGGTATTTCCTAGTCTCCTCCATGGTTCCCAGCATCTGATTTTTCTTTGGGCCTGGGTTGTCTGTCTTATGTTTGTGGTACAAGTCCATTTGGTACAAATTCCCAGCTCATCTTGGTCAGTTCTTAACAGAGGCCAGGAACAGTTGATTGTGCTCATTTAAAAACACTTTTCTTCTGTAATCCCAGCAGCTTGGGAGACTGAGACAGGAGGATTGCAAGTTCAAGGCCAGCTTCAGCAACTGAGCAAGGCCCTAAGCAATGTAGTGAGACCCTGTCTCAAAAACAAACAAACAAAAAAAGCTTTCTTACAAGCTAGGCCTGGTGATACTTATTTTGCAATTTGTCTTATAAAGGGATGATTAAAAATTCTTTGGCATCACTCTAGGGTAGCCAATAATCCCAGCAACCCAGGAGGCTGAGGCAGGAGGGTCACAAGTTCAAGGCCAGCCTCAGCAATTTAGCAAGGCCCTAAGCAACTTAGCGAGTCCCTGTCTGAAAATAAAGAATGAAAAGGGCTGGGGATGTGACTCAGTAGTAAAGCACCTCTGGGTTCAATCCCCAATACCAAAAAAGAAAGAAAGACCCACTTTCCTCCTCAGCCTGCTGTCACCATACCATCTTCCTTGAAATCTTCCTTTCCCACCCATAACGGCCACCAAGAGGAGCCCCCAAGTTTGCCCCGAGGAAGAGGATTAGAAAAGCCTTCCTCCAGCTCCTCCTCTGCTGGCTCCAGACTGACATGCGGCTCCTGACACCTTTGCAAGCTGAGGGAAGCCCCCGACTCCCAGTCTGTGCCCATGTCACCTGCCCAGACCCCTTGGGTGACTTCACCCAATCTCCCTTTGCAGAGGACAGAACAGTCTCCTGACCCTCACCCACCACACTGAAGTTGGCCCTTAGAGGTGCTGGCTGCATTCCCGGGGACTTCTGTTGTCCCTGTTGCTGTTCTGAGTTCTTGCCTTGTTCCTTTCGAGTTACTGGCTCAGTAGACTGGAGACAGAGGTGGCTATCCATCCAGCAGGACAACCTGAGGAAGAACTAGCTTATCCACCAGAGGACAGCCGGAGCCAGGTTGTGGAAAGAATTGTTAAAAACAGAACTATCGCCAGGCACGGTGGTGCACGCCTGTAATCCCAGTGGCTCAGGAGGCTGAGGCAGGAGGATCACAGATTCAAAACCAGCCTCAGCAACTTAGCGCAGGGTTAAGAAATTCAGTGAGACTCTCTCTCTAAATATAAAAAGGGGCTGGGGAAGTGGCTTCCCTCAGGGGTTAAGTGCCCCTGGGCTCAATCCCTGGATATATATATATATATATATATATATATATATATATATATATATATATATATATCATGCTTTGGGGGGTAAATCCTGACAAAGGGTACTTTCAAGATGAAAAGAAGAGGTGGCTTGTAATCTTACTGAGCGCAGAGGCAGGTGCTTTGACTTTGAGGTCCACAGCAGCAGGCGCGCTGGAGTTCACCGCCCTCTTGAACCTTAACCTGGCTCACCCTCTGGCAGTAACAGAATGGAGATGTGTGATCTCCTCCAAGCTCTGGCACCAGACACGTGTCTCTCAGCCCAGGATTTCATTTCTTTAATTTCCTGCCACTTTCTCTATCTGCAAAGTGGAAGGAGCTATTTAAGATTTAAGTCCTTCCATTTCCTCGGTCTTCCTTCTCAGAGCAATTCAGGACAGCCCTCCCTCTCCAAAAGCCATCAGGAACCTCAGAGTGGCTGCAGCTGGTCTTTGGCTACTTCTTTGGTCTTTGCTGCCCCCTGCTGCCCACAGATAGGAGGGGGGAAAAAATAAAATAAAAGCCCTGGCAGGAAGGACACTCAAGGACATAGAGGGCCTGAAAAGTACAGACTAGGGGTTGGGGGTGGGGGGCCGTAGGTGGCTGATCTGCAGAAGCAGACATAGCTCCCTGCCCCCAGCTCTGTCCCTAGTTCCGTCCTCTAATGGTGCAGGTTGATAGGACTCCAAGACTGGGAAACGCCCACCCTCTCCCCAACCAAGTTCCACCCCTTGCGTCAGAAGTCTTATCTGAGAAGCTTCAAAGAAGCCATCTAACCTCACCGCACATCCTGTCCCTGACCCGGGCTGCCCCACCCCTCTTGTTCCCCCAGAGTTCTCCATCAGCAGCTTCTGCACCGTGGTGGACGTCATGAACTTCTCCAAGCTGCAGGTGCTGCGCCTGGACGGCAACGAGATCAAGCGCAGCGCGATGCCCGTGGACGCACCGCTCTGCCTGCGCCTCGCCAGCCTCATCGAGATCTGAGTGGCCCTCGCGCTGGGCCCTGGGTGTACAGTCCCCACGTCCCCCACTGCATTTGGCTTGATGGTTTGGTTTGGCTTTTGCTGGAAGGTCTGGGACAAACATGTGACAGAAGTCCACGGGCTCCTCTTTAGTCTTCTTCCCTGTAGGCAGCAGGTAGTGGGATGGGGAGGCGGCAGGCAGGCTTCTGCTGAGGACCTAGGTAGAAGCTTTCGGGTCTCTAGGGACAAAAGGGGCAGCAGGGGGAGTAGTCCCTGGAAGTTCCAAACCCAAAATAGTCTCACTCCTCTTGAGTCTCTCTGATGACCTGATGTTGTGGAACTTCAAAAGTTGCTTGGGCCCAACAGTCTGACTCTCTGGGAGCAGCACTTGACAGACCTCTGTATGTGCTTAGACCAGCTACACAGTTACTCGGGGCTCCCATTCATTGCTCCTCAAAATATACCTCTTGCCCAGCCCCCCCCCCCCAAACTCCACCTCATCCACTCACCCTCCTTCACAGATGCCTCCTCTGTGCCTCAGGAGACTCCGAGGCTTGTGGGCATCTGCCCAGCAACCTGTGGAGAGAGCCACACTTGTCTGAGGTTGAATGGATACCCAGAGTCACTTCTATGCTTTCCAGCCTCACCCTTTGGAAAGCCACCAGACCAAGGTCACTGCCATCATGATAGCATCATGACCTAATGCCAGGGGATACGGTAACCTCCGGCTTAGATAAACATACTGAGCTATATTTTAGTAGCTGAGCAGCTCTTTACAGTCAGATCAGATTTCAAAGGAGGAAAGGCCAGACTGATTATCATCATCATCCATACCAGGGACAAATGCACCGCAAATTGGCTGAACTGAGGGGCAGGCCCAGCACTTTCATTCTGGCCCCCTCTCTGCATCCCTGCTTGGATATTTATCCTCAATGGTGGAGGCCATGTGGTTTTCAAAGCTCCATAAAGCTAACTGAGCTCTACTTTGATCCAAGCAGGGAGGTTTTATATACTGATGGGAGTCTTCCAACCAACCCTGGACTTGCCTGCTGCCAGGAGGATGTGGTTGATCTGTATTAACTGATTTGTCCCAAGGCCAGAGTCAAAAGCACCAGCACTGCTGGAGATGCTCAGTGTGGTCCCTGAAGCCCAGGGCTACCTCCAAACACGGCCTGTGCTGGGCACGAACCCTTCTGCTTTCGCATCTCTGAGCTGTGCCCTCGTTACAGAAGATGCCTGTTGCTTCACAGCTTGGCTGGAAAGCAATTAATTCTTCCCATCTCTGAAAGGTCACGTTGCTTGGGCCTCACCCACCTGCTTTTAAGGGCACATTGGGATACAGCCATTTGGGCAGCCAGAGGCAAATACCAGTTAAGAAGCATTAGCCTGAGTCGGACCCCCACTAAGATATCGTTACATCCCTGATTCTGTGTATGCTTGGGAGCTGCTTCCCTGGAAAGGGAAGGGGGATGCTTGGACCATGTTCTTAGCTCCAGACCCTGAAATCCACAAAAGCCAAACCAGCTCATTTCAGCCAGGGATCTCTGATGTGAGGACAAGGCTGCCCCCTGCCCCAGGGCTCTCCAGAAAGCATCTGCATGTGGACACCATCATGTCCCTATAAAGGATCCTTGTTACAGGAAAAGCATGAGTGGTGACCAACCTGACCAATAAAGTTATTTTACGATTGCATCTGCAAGGATGGAGTCATTGGAGGTAGGCTAAGTGTTTATCTTAGGGGAACCTAGTGGAGTCACATAGGTCTTGGACTGGATGAGCTCTTTTTTATCTGTTCCGTTTGGGGCAGATTCTGATAAGGTTAAAAACAAAAATACCCTGTATAAAAAACTCTAGTTAACAAACTTTGTATTCTGGAAGTTCTTCTTTAAGTCTAACATCAGCCCTACTATCTACACATCCCCCTTCCTTTGGTACCCAAAAGCTAAAAAGCAAGTTAATTTTTTTAGTCATTTTAGCATTTTTCTCCTTCAACCCAGTATTCCAGATCTGGTGGTCCTGGGTATTGTTGTCTTAACTGCTGCTGCCCTCTAGTGGCTACTCTGCAGAACTGAGGGCAGCCAAGCATAGCAAAACCTTCATCCTCTCAATGCATATTTTCTTAATGGCTTTTAGATGCCAGATGTTGTGCTAGACTCTTAAAAAAAAAAAAAGTCATATAAGTAAGGAGGGCAGACTCTGCTTTCACTGTCAGGCCAATTCACTATTTTCTTTTTTTAATATTTTTTCCTTAGTTGTTGGTAGATCTTTGTTTATTTATAAGTGGTGCAGAGAATCGAACCCAGTGTCTCACACATGCAAGGTATGTGCGCTACCGCTGAGCCGCAATCCCAGCCCAACAATTCACTATTTTCTAATAGAGAAATAACTCATATTTGCTAAGCACTAATATATACCAAATTCTTTGCCAAGTACATTTGAATGCCACAACTCCATCTTGAGCTGAAGTCCACTGGACTGTAATTTTCTGAAGCCAGAGTTAGGCAGGAATGTGAGTGTGTGGGATGACCAGAGAGAAACCGTAACAATGACTGCAGCCTGTCTCAGAGGACAGTAAGTAAAGCTGAGGACCTTGGAGCCCTCTACAGAAAGAGACCAAATGGGGGAGGAGACAAGACGCACGGGAGGGGCTACCCACACTATGAGGAGGAATCCTCTGCCTTTTAGTTTTGCTTCTTAGCAGCTTCCATGATTTCCATATCCAGGGCTTCATAAGAGAGAAACAAGAGTCTACCTACTGTCCTTCAGACTCGGGCGCCTCTTTGTCTTTACGCTGCCATTTAATCAATAATATGTGGTAGAAGCTTTCCCTACATCACCTCACCTAGTGCTCCTCACCTCTCTGTGCCAGAGGCACTCTTATTTCCACCACTTTACAGATGAGGAACCAAGGCACAGAAACGCTGGGGTCACCAGTGAGGAAGCATCAAGGACAGGCTCTGACCACCAGCCACCTGTCTGCCCAGTTGGTCTGGGTGGTCAGTTTCTACCTGTGAAGATCCTACTATTACCTGGTTAATAGGGCATGGAGGAGGTTTAGGGGCAGATAGGCTGTTGCAAATCAAAAGAGACCTTCTCACCAGGTGGCACATGCCTCTAATCCCAGCAATTTGGGAGGCTGAAGCAGGAGAATCACAGGTTCAAAGCCAGCCTCAGCAACTCAGTGAGGCCCTAAGCAATTTAGCAAGACCCTGTCTTAAAATTAAAAAATAACCTGTAATCCCAGCATCTCAGGAGGCTGGAGGATGGTAAATCAAAGCCAGACTCAGCAACTTAATAAGGCCATGTCTTAAAAAATGAAAAGGGCTGGGGAGGTAGCTGAGTGGTAGGAACACCCCTGGGTTCAGTCCCCAGTAATGCAAAAACCAAATGAATAAATAAAATGCACCCTTCATCAATAAGTGTTGACTGAGTGCCGCTGAGCAGGCGTGGAGAATAGTACAGAGAACAAAGCAAACAGTCCCTGACCCTGCGGGGTTACAGTCTAGCCCAGGGGTGGACATTGGACAAAAGAAAAGAAACCCCACACTGGGGATCATGTGTCACATACTGAGAAAGGTCTGGGAAGGAGACTAGCTCAGGTCTGCCCAAGAACTCTCGAGAACGTGATTAGACTCTCTGAGACCTGAAGGGAGGTAGGCATCCAGATGAAGAGGTGGGGGACACCACCAGACAGGGAGAGCAGGGGACAAACACCTGAGTGCAGAAGGAAGCTTCAGACACACTAGACAAGGAAAGCGGCTGGGACCAGAGTAGAGGGAGAGAGTTTCAAATGGTGAGCTGGAGAGATAAGCAGGGATCTCATATTTCAGACCCAAGTACAGAGAAATTTCACCAACACCTTCCCTGCCCCACGACCCAGGGCCTGCTGCTCAGGCGGTCTCACAGTTCCGCCTTTGGGCCACTAGAGGGCAGCATCTCATCTCACACCATCCAGAGTCTTTTCCCAACCCTTTGAAGGTCTCTTTCCAAGTGGGCTTTTCCCCAAATTACTCTGAACAGCCCCCAGTCCCACCAGGGGCTGGTCTCCTCTGTGTGCTGTGACTTGCTGTGGCAGGGATGTGAAGCCTATGGACTTCTCAGAATATTTTTGTTTTTTAGTCCTGGGAATGAACCCAGGGGCCATTAAACACAAAGCCACGTGCCCAGCCTCTTTGGTTTGATGGAGTCTCCCTAAGTTGCTGGCCTCGAATTTGCAATCCTCCTGCCTCAGTCTCCCCAGTAGCTGAATTTACAGGCATGAGTTACCGCAAAGGGGCCTCAGAATGTTTTAAACACATAAAATAAAATGCATAGTATTAAAAGAAAATCAGTTACATTGGAATAGTTACCAAAATACCAAATACATAAACTTTTTTGATATAGTAATATATATTTCTTTACCAATGCAATAAATAACAAGATCTAGCCACAGGTCTAATTAGCTAAAGTCGTTTCAAAGTTTTGACCAGTACAAATTATATTTTGAGATGTTTTTAATAACGGCAGCATGATATAAAAGATATCTAGGATTTCAAAACCGCAAGTACTATTAATGCTGTTGTGGTTCATAATTGAAGAGAATGCTAAATTTTAGTTCAATGAATGAAACAAAATGTATTTTGTCATCCAAGTTCATGGATCCTCTCTAAGCCCAAGTAGCAATGTAGATCAGAAAGGGAAGGCAAGAAGAAAAGGCAACTCTTGAGCTCTCTTCCTTGGGAGCATAGCTCCATAACTCAACCTTTATTTTCCCCCCAGCTCCCCCCTGCTTTTTTTTTTTTTTTTTTGAGACAGGGTCTTGCTAAGTTGCTTAGGACCTCACTAAGTTGCTGAGGCTGGCTTTCAACCTGCGATCCTCCTGCCTCAGTCTCCAGCTTAAATTGCTGGAATTACAGGATGTGTACTGCTGCACCCAGCTTCAATACAGTTTTACTAAATGCAGTCCCTGAACCAAATACTGTGTGAGTAGTTGGTGCATTTAGTACAGAATGAATGCATGCATGTACGAATATGTAACAATGAATCCCACCATTATATACAACTGTAATGCACCAATTTAAAAATATGTGGAAAAAAGAATGAATGAATGGATGGATGGATGGATGGATGGATGAATGAATGTAAAGCCCTAAGGTATGTGTTGTGGAATCTGATGGAGATAATAAGTAAAATTCATTTTGCCTCCTAATGTGAAAGGTACCTAGTTCATTCAAGAAACCACAAAGCAGTTTGATGAATGTGCCAAACAAAGCATATGGACAAAAATGTTCATTATTCTTAAAAAGGAGAAATGATGAGGGCTGGGGTGGCCAGGAAGGCTGTGGGCAGCATCCCCAGCACACGCTCCCTGGGAGCCTGGGACAGGACACACTCCTTCACTTGCCGGCTCAGCTGTTCATCCTATCAAGCACTCAGGTGCTGAGCCCACAGTGAAAGAATATCACCAGGAGACTCGGAATCCTGTGTAGACTGCCTCAAACTCTCCCAGAAGTTCCTTTGCCTCAAACAGACAGGTGGGAGCTTGTAGACATGACTCCCCCACCAGCTGGAGCCTCTGGGTGACCCAGGCCACCAAGTTATGCCCCAGTGAAGCAAACACATTGCTCAATTCTGGGGCAGCTGGAGTTTCCAGAGCAGCAATCCTGCCAGGAAACTAGTCCATGCCCCGGGGACAGGGCAGGCATGTGGTGTGAGAGTCCTTGCCTGAGCATGGGGGCCAGGAGCAGGGGGCCGGTGGGGGTGGGGGCTAGTGCAGAAAGGCCAGAGTGAACAAAAGAACCAAGCAGACCCTCCCCAACCACGCTGGGCCCCAACAGGAACTGCAAACACTACAGATGAATGAGCTGCTCCCAACCCTGGGTCTGGGCTGCCAGATACGCTGAGGGCAGAAAGAATGGAATTACACTTGACCCAATTTAGGAAATAATAACAGGAAATGGGTCAAAACCCTAACAAGACCTGCCTCCAAAAGAAAAAGCATTGGAAAGCAGTGGGGGTGAGTCTGGAACCTTCCTAATCCACCAGAAACAGAAAAACAGTAGCCTTGGCCTTGCATTTGACCCCAGTAATCCTAACATCTCTTCACAAGTGTTACTCCAAGCCATGGGTCTTGGCAAAATTGGACAGGCTAAAAGAATAATAGGGGGAAACAAAAAACAGGCTAAAAGGATAATAGAAGCATGCTACCCAGGCCAGGCTTAGCCAGCAGATTCAGAGGTAGTTCAGAGCCAGACGTGAGGGCCAACAACAGCAGCCTGAACCAGGAGGTGTGGGGAGAGCTATTACAAAGAAGAAACCAGAAAACCCAGGTCCCAAAGAAAACCCCAGGTTTCCAAGGTGTCAGGGGTACAAGCAGCCCCAAGCCCAGTGATACGGGTAAGTCAGCATGAGAGGGGGTTGTCCTCAGGGCAACACAGAGGTGATTCCAGTACAACCCTAACGACTTTGGCCCAATGCAAATATCAGGTGGTGTTTCTGGGTCCCTCCTCACATGTGGAGGCTCCCAGCCAACAGGCACCTTGAAAGAATAACATCTCATGGGCCTCATATTTTTTTTGACCAAAAATTATGACATACTTCAATATCCTTAGGTCTTCCTGGGATTATAAAACTGAATATTTTCAGACCTTTGTGCCCTAAGGAGTTCAAGGCATTTGTTCAATCAACAAGGACCATTGGAGATCAGACCACCA